AGCAGTTAAAATGGCCATAACTACATACCTAGCAATAATCACTTTAAATCAGTGCTCCAATCAAGAGACACAGGGTGGCTGGATGGATAAAAAAAAACCAAGACCCATCTACATGCTGCCTCCAAGAGGCTCACTTTAGATCTAAAGACAGACTGAAAGTGAAGGGACAGAGAAGGATATTCCATGTAAATGGAAATAAAAAGCTGGGGTAGCAATATTCATTTCCAACAAAATAGACTTTAATACTGTAACAAGTGACAAAGAAGGGTATTACATAATAATATAGGGCTCAATCCAAGAAGAGGATTTAATATCCATAAATATTTATGCACTCAACACAGAAGCCCATACATATGTAAAGCAAGCATTACCAGGCACAGAGGGAGAAACTGAGAGTAATGCAGTAATAGTAGGGGACTTTAACTTCCCACTGTCAGCAATGCATAGATTATCCAAACAGAAGAATCAACAAGGAAAAGCTGGCCTTAAATGACACATTAAACCAAAAGATAAACAGAACATTCCATTCAAAAATGGAATACGGATTCTTTTTGTACATTTTCCAGGTAAATCATGTTAGGGCACCAGAAAATTTAGACTGAAATCGTATCAAGCATCTTCTCTGACCACAATGGCATGAAACTTTCCAAAATCTATAGGATGCAGTTCTAATAGGAAAGTTCATGCCTACCTCAAGAAATAAGAAATATCTCAACCAAATTTTATACCTAAAGGAACTAGAAAAAGAGGAAACAAAGCCCTAAGTTAGTAGAAGGAAGGAAATAATTAAGATCAGGGTGGAAATAAGTAAACTAGAGACAAAAATAACAGTAGAAAAGATAACTGAGACTTAAGTAAGGGGTGGTTCTTTGAGGAGATAAACAAAACTGATAAACTTTTAGCCACTTTCATCAAGAAAATAGATGGCTCAGATAAATACAATCAGAAATAAAAGGAAAGTTACAGCTGACACCACAGGAATACAAAGAATCATGAGACAACCTAAAAGAAATGGATAAATTCCTAGTAATATTCAACCTTCCAAGACTGAATCAGGAAGAAATAGAAAATCTGAACAAACCCATTACCAGAAGTGAAATTGAATCAGTAATAAAATAAAAATTCCAATAAACAAAAGTCCAGAACTAGACTGCATCACAGAGGAATTCTACTTAACATATAAAAAAAAAAAGTAATGAAAAGTAAGGAATGCTTCTAGACTCATTTGACAAGGCCAGCATTACCATGAGGTCAAAACCAAAGACACCACACAAAAAAAGAAAATTACAGGCCAGTACCTCAGATGAATATAGAGGTAAAAATCCTCAACAAAATATAAGCAAACCAAATTCTTTCAATATATTGTTCAATCAAACACCATGATCAAGTGGGATTTATCACAGGGATGCAAAGATGGTTCAATATCAGCAAATAAATCGGTATAATACACCATGTTAACAAAACGAAGGATACAGATGATACAAAGCATTTGACAAAATTCAATATCCATTCATGATAAAAACTCTCATCAAAGTGGGCACAGAGGGAATGTACCTGAACATAATAAAAGCCGTATATGACAAACCCACAGCTAGCATCATATTCCACGGTGAAAAGCTGAAAGAGCTTTTCTTCTAAGATCAGGAACAAGCCAAGGATGCTCACTCTCATCACTTTTATTCAACATAGCATTGGAGGTCCTAGCCATAACAATCAGACAAGAAAAGGAAATAAAAGGTATCCAAATCGGAAAGGAAGTGAAACTGTGACTATTTGCAGATGACATGATATTATGATCCACAGAAAACCTTAAAGACACCACGAAAAAACTATGAGAGCTAATAAATTCAATAACGTTTCAGGATAGGAAATGAAAATACAGGAATTTGTTCCATTTCTATACACTAATAATGAACTATCAGAAAGAGAAACCATGAAAACAATCCC